CCCACTTCATCAGCAAGTGTGTTAACCAATAGACTGCTGGGCAAAACGCAGACTCCAGCATAATACTTGCTCTCAGTATCAAATACATGCATGTGTTTTTACTTGAACTAAGGCTATTGGGATGTGTACAGAATGTATTAATTGATTCATAGATGTTTGGGTTGGAAGGGACCTCAGTAGATCATTGAGTCCAACCCCCTGCCCTGGGGTGGGATCGATGTATGTGATGGTACTGAATCAAAACAGAGTGTAAGTGGAAGTAGATGGCTAGGTAGCTATATTGGATCACTTGTGAAAATGCACAAAGAACAAGCCTAATTGCCTCAGGATCTTAAAAGGCAAAGATAGGATGAAGTTACACATTACACTTAGACCATACTAAGGACACTTAAAATGTGAGCATCCACATGTAAAACTTGTTAACCTGTGCTAAGTGCCCTCTGAGCATCTCATAGTTCAGGCAAGGGTCACTTCTGGGCCATGCTCATGTTAAAGTAACTTCAGTCTGTTCCACAGAAATAAACTGAGCAAGTTCCAGTCCTTTAGCATCCCAGGATGCACTGGTCCCAGCCCCCACACCAAAAGCAGGACTGGAGCCCAGGTATCCTGGCTCCTAGCCACACCTCTGCTCACTAGCTCTCCAGTGACAAGTCAGAGCTGTGTAAGCAAAAAATGTTATTAACCCTTAACATGTGACACCTCACAGTACGTTCTAACTTTAATGTGGCTTAGCATTCCACAGATTTAGTATGGTCTAAGTATAACATGTAACTTCACAATGTATAGATTCATCAGCTGATTTGAACTGGCTTTATTTCCAAAGCATATTGCAAATGTGCCCATGTTCAAACTGCTTGATTAATTTTAAAGTACCTACAATTGAAATTGTCCATGTTAAGTGAGCGGGATTACATCCTTACAGCTGGATCACACTACCCATTCCAATAAAACAGATAGCCATATGGTCAGTTTTAATAAACTTCCCAGAAATCCTATTAGTGTAAGAGGAACCGACGGTATAATTTGTCCCTGCTGTTTGTGATTTGGGGATGTTCGTGCTCTCCATACATACATATAAATCTGCAGTAACTCAGCATTTACTGAAGTAATTTAGGATTTGTACCAATGACAATGAGAGCAGACTGTCTATAATGTACTGCAGTTTACTGGAGTAATGCTGTTAAACTGCTGTGCCTTAGTATCTTTGCGACAGCAAATGTTTATCTCTTGCAGGCTGCAGCTATCCAAATGAGCAACATCTTACATAAATACATATTTGCAGGGGTCGCCTTAAGTGTAACAGCAGGGTTATTATGCTTGTGGCAAACTTCTTATCTTAATTAAGTGTAAGGAGTACAGGATGTTTCCAAGCCTAGTTTGTGTCAAGGCATATAGGCACACACAGCCTGTTAATAAATAATAGACTTTCTATGTGCATATTCTGCAACCTGGTTTGAAAAATCAACCCCTGATGGGTAAAATAGCATATCATGTGTTAGTGAAAAACAAGGAAACGATACATTCCTGAGCTTATAGTTACTGGGGATCCTGCAATGGTGGTGGGGGGTTTTAAAAGCACACTTTCGTTTCAGTGTTTCCTATTAGATGGTGTGGTCTGTCTGTCTTTCTTTTGGTTATTGCTCTAGGGAGGAGGACGCTGTATGGGTAACATACAGGGCATTATGTTACTATGGTGAAATAAAGTTTTCCATATCTAAGCAGTATGGTAGTCAGAGATCCAGATCCTCAGCAGCAGAAAGTCAGCCTTGCTCATCAGTGGAGTTGGTGGTACTGAGCTAATTAGCGCTATCAGAGCTTTTAACATGGGTTTATGACCTGTCCTAAGAGGTGTCTATTAGGGCTGTGTAAAACAGCACCATTTCATTTCGACTTCTGTTTTTCCATTTCAAAGGGCCAGTGTTTCATTTCATCATTTTGTTTCATTTAAAGCACTGTTCCATTTTGTTTCATCAAAACTGTTTTGCTGTTTTGACACGTTTCGACGTTTCACCCATAGGCTATAATGGGGAATCACAAAAACGCCTATAACTTTGTCATTTCATGCCATATTTGAATAAAAATAGCAGGAAGGGTAGCCCCTGCTGAGGCCATAAAGCCTGTCATGTTTCAAGGAGATAGGAGTTTCTGGGAAACTGCACCTCAAGGTGCTGACAAGCAAAACTCGTGTTGTGTGTGTATTAAGGCACAGCAGGGTGAAAACAGCAGGCATGGTAGCCCCCGTTAAGGCCATGAAGCCTGCCAGGTTTCAAGGAGATAGGTGAAGGGGGTTCTGGGAAACTGCACCTCAAGCTGCGGACAAGCAAAACTTGTGACATGTGACTGTGTGTTATGGTCCACCCTCACTGGAGCTGGGGCCTCTATATGTGTGCCCAGTTACATCTCCTCCCCTACAGTCTCAGCTCAGTCCACCACTTTAAATAACAACAGGTAAGTAAGCAGCACAGTACCACTAGCATCTCAGACAGCCAAACTGTCACAGACTAGAGCCTTTCTTTCCTTTCCTGCATGACCTTCTTCTCCAGCAGTGCCAGAGAACTCTCCCTGCCAGCCCCAGCCCTGGGGCTTAGATGTGCCCAGGGCCCTGCCTCCTTCCGGTCAGCTGACCAGGGACAGGTGCTAGGGGTGTAGGTTGTAGCTGTGTTGGTCTAAGGACATGGCACTAGCAGACAAGGTTCTTTGGGTCAGTCTGGTATCTTTTAGTAGACCAACTGAATAGTTGGAGAAATATATCTTAGCAAACTTTCGGGTTGAAAAACCCTTTGTCAGGCTGAGGAAGCACCTGCATTTGGTGTGTGTGTTGTTCCTGGATGGAAGTGGACGGAATAGTAAAGCAGCCAGAGGCTGGCCTGGCATGCAATGCAGGCAAGAAAGCCAGTCAGTAAAAATCATGGGCGACTGGTGCCACCTTAGTCAGGGAGACCATGTGCCCCCCCTGCAACCAGTCCCACTGACTTGGGGGGCAGAATCCCCTCACAGCTGATCTCACTGCCCAGGGGGGGCCAATCCTACCAATCGGGGGGGAGGGGTCCCCCACAGCCAATTTTGCTGCCTGAGTGGCTGCGGCCACTTCTGGGAGCAGCTGCAGCGATTAGCCAGCGCTTGCAGGGCAGGCACCGGCACTCCCGCCTGTTTCCCCCCACCCATTGCCTAAGCAGTGAGGGTGGGCAGTCAGGGGGTGCACTGGTGCTCTCAGGAAATATATGTGCACCCCCGTGCACCCCCTACTTTTTTCTGCCCCTCCCCCAGAACACTGGGATTGGAAGGGACCTCAGAGAAGGATCATAGTCACTGGGCAGCTACACAGTCAGTATCAGAGCAGTCCTTCCTCCTTTTTCCCCTTCCTTCTCCTTAGATTCTGTTGTGACATGTGACTGTGTGAACACCTGGTGAAATTTCGCACAGCCCTAGTGTCTATATGATATTATTTACATGGTAAAGAAATAAAAAATTAGATGGGGGATATGGGGAGAATTAAAAGAAAACAGAATAGTTCAAAAGGGTAGTGGTTGACAGAAGTCAATCGTCATGGTGCCTTTTGACCAGTGGGGTCCCTCAAGGCTCTGTCCTTGGACCTGTTTTGTTCAACCTCTTCATTAATGATGTGGACATTGGAGTCAGAAGTGGACTGGCCAAGTTTGCCGATGATACCAAACTTTGGAGTAAAGCATCCACACCTGAGGACAGGAGGGTAATCCAGGCTGACCTTGACAGACTCAGGAAATGGGCAGATGAGAACCCGATGGTGTTTAACACCGAAAAATGCAAGGTTCTCTACCTTGGGAGGAAAAACCTGCAGCACGTATATAGGCTTGGCAGTGCTACGCTGACTAGCACTACGGACGAGAGGGACTTGAGGGTCATGATTGACCACAAAGTGAACATGAGCCTTCAATGTGATGCTGCAGATAGTAAAGCGAGCAAAACGCTGGCTTGCATCCATAGATGATTCTCAAGCAAATCCCAGGACATTATTCTCCCATTGTACTTGGCCTTAGTGAGGCCGCAGCTGGAGTACTGCATCCAGTTTTGGGCTCCACAATTCAAAAAGGATGTGGAGAAGCTTGAGAGAGTGCAGAGAAGAGCCATGCGCATGATCAGAGGTCAGGAAAACGTACCTTACGATAAGAGGCTGAGAGCTATGGGACTCTTCAGCCTGGAAAAGCGCAGGCTCAGGGGTGATCTGATGGCCACCTATAAGTTTATCAGGGGTGTTCACCAGGATCTGGGGGAACATTTGTTCACCAGTGCACCCCAAGGGATGACAAGGTTGAACGGTTATAAACTCCTGCAAGACTGTTTCAGGCTGGACATAAGGAAGAACTTCTTTACTGTCTGAGCCCCCAAGGTCTGGAATGGCCTGCCGCTGAAGGTGGTTCAAGCACCTACTTTGAATGCCTTCAGGAGAAACCTGTATGTTTTTCTTGCTGGGATCCTATGACCCCAGCTGACTTCCTGCCCCTGGGGCAGGGGGTTGGACTTGATGATCTTCCGGGGTCCCTTCCAGCCCTAATGTCTATGAAATCTATGAAAAAATAGGGGCAATGGGACACAGATTTTTTTCAAGTACGAGATAGTGATTCAAATCTCACAGTAGTTGGTCATGATGGAAAGTAATAAATTGGCTTCATTGATACTAACAGGAGCTTTGGTGTTAACCTTAACGGGCCTAGATTTCTATAAGGACCTAGATATACCATAGCCTTAAGTTTTTTTCTCAATCCTTTGTAGTCCACATCACCATTAGCCAAGGGCTGAATGGGCAATGAAGACTGAATTGCTCTCTATTCATTTTGAGCTGACCTCTCCAGCAGAGGTTTAGTAGCAGAATGGCATGGTGAAAGCTTGGACTGCTGTTTACCATGCTTTGCCTCCTGTGAACTGAGAACTTGACTTCTCAGTGATGCACAGATGCTTTACATTAGCACTTAACCCCTTTGTAAATAATGCATTATAAAGAATAAAAAATATGAACCACTTACTTGGTCCCAGACCAATGGAGAAAGCAGCAACATAAACAAGCAAGCTAGCCAGAGAGATCCATTTCAGAACTAGTGGGACTTCCACAGTTTCTGTTTTGATGTTCGATCTCATTTGACTTCCTGTAGAGATTATGTCTCCTTCCAAAACTGTCCTGTTCTGTTCCTCTGTTTTAACCATTTCAGATTTCTTTAGTGTATTTAGTGATATTCCATCCTGTGAAGTCATACTGCCAAACTGGTTCCTGAGACTGTCATTATTAGCAGTCAGGTTTCCTGATCCATGAAAAACTGAATCTTCCAGGGACTGGCTTCTACAGATATTTGTGAAGTTCATATGTAAATTAAAATTCACCAAACCCATGGTGACTAGCGACACCGCCATAAGAGAAGAACCAATACACAGAAAGGTTTTGCTTCCAACTTGATCCACAAAAATGATGGCTGGGATTGTGCTGACTACTTTGACCACTCCCACTCCAGTAGAGGCCAAGCTAGCCGCTTCATTGCTCTGAAACCCAACTGACTTCAGAACAGTCGATGCATAAAATAAAATGTTAGGTTGTCCTGTTGTTTGCACAAAAAATGCTAGGGTGAGACCTATTAGCATTCGTGCCCTCATGTTGTCTTTTGAACGAAATATGTCCAAAAAACTGTACTGATGTTCATCTTTCAAGGAAGACTTGATGGCAATGAGTTCTTCAGTAGTGTCTGAAGTTGCCCTTAGCCTCCCCAGTACCTTGCTAGCAGCTTCATCATTACCTTTCATAACAAGAAACCGAGGACTTGGGGGAAGGAAATACATAGCAACAGCTTGCAAAGCCCCTAATGGCATTGCAAGGCCAAACATGTATTTCCAGCCTTGAGAGAAACTGGCAAATACATAATTTGAAATGTAGGCAAAAAGAAAGCCAGTCACAATCATAAGTTCATTTAATGACACAAGTAGGCCTCTTCTATGCTGCGGTGCAATCTCAGCAATATATACACATGTTGCAATTGAAGATAATGATATGGAAATGCCTATAGTGATCCGGCCTACAATAAGTATCCCATATGATGCACTGGGTATCAAGATCAGACTTCCCAATACAAATAAAGAAGATGCTACAATAATAGCAATTCTCCTTCCAAATCGGTCAATCAGGAATCCACCAGTAAGTGATGCTAGTAAGGCCCCAATAAGGATGGCACTTACGACTATTTCCTGCTGTTTGCAAGAGAGCATTAGTATACTGCTCAGCTGGAGAAGAGCCCCTGAGATAAGTCCCAATTCATAACCCATTAGGAGTCCACTGATGGCAGCAATGGTAGATGACAGAAAGGTAAACATTCCACATCCTGGAATTAAAGAAAAAGAAAAACAATGAGTTCTGTATCATTGCGATAATCAGTAATAAACTTATTTTAGAAACCAGGGGTCAAAACCTTGCCCTAAATCTGGGCAAAACAATAGAAACAAATACATAAGAACCCAAAAGCATTGGACATATCAGAGATGATGTTGCTAAAGACAGAAAAAATGCTTATTTCCCTCTTTTATTATAAGATCATAGAAGCCAATAAAAGGATTACCAATCCATAGACCTGAGTTGTTTTGATCAGGTCCTAAATAAATAAACCTTCTTTACAAACATAAAAACAGAACACAAATTACTAACCAGGCTACTGAATACCCATCCACACAAAAAAGCATATCATGGGATGTAATCATGTAAGCTATGCAACTGCATTTTTCAATCCTGATTAGAAGAGGCCACTTTTACAAGTAACACAAGAGTTTATTTTCTATAAATAAACTCCTATCCTGTGTCTTTGCTTGGCTAAGGGTGACAACAAGAATGTTGATTCTGGTGGCATGTCTCTGTGACAAACTATAGGGCCTGATCTAAGTCATTCTTATAAGTTTCCACTCAGATATGGCAACATTTAAAAACAAATGCTTTGCCACAGGAGGGTGAACCAAATAGGGTCAGGTACCTAGGCTCCCCACACAGCCAATGGGAGTAGTTCAGAGACTAAATGGAGGCCCTAGAACACAAGTTTCCCACATCCTGGGAGAACACTCCAACCATTAAGCTATTATAGCCATGATAGCCTTGCTGAACTCAATGCTGTCAGTGTGGTTAGGTGTGTTCTGTGAGTACCTTCTACCTTCAATCTGGATCACAAAAGAATTTGGACAGGAGTTTGGTACCTAACTTTTCAAACTGGATTGCTTCTGAGCATGCTCGTAAGTTTAGCTCTAGGTGCCTAAGGGATCTTTCTGGGCCTAAACAAAGGCTCCTAAGGGGGTTTTCAGCAAGTGGAATGGGGTTTATCCAATCACTTTTTGTGACTTCAACATCTAAATGGCACCTAAGTGCCATTTAGATGCCTACACAAGGATTTATCCACTGGTAACCAGGGTGAGGCTGCCGAACAGATCTTGCTTATCTAGAGAATGTGGCAATTTCAGATAAGCCAACCTTATCTGAAGGTTCAAACTTTTGAATCATTGGGGGTTCACTCTTTACTAATCTTAGAAATCTTTATACTACAAAGATCAGATATTTCACATTGTTTCTAATGGCTGCCCCATCAGCAATAAAAACCAGACGGTGAAAAAGAAGACAAAATGGAGAACATATGTCTTTTGTGTTTCCACTTTAAAATAAACTTGTTTTATACAACTGAGAATCATTGTTTATTGTCCCAAGCTAGATGTAACTAATCATATTGGGCTTGTTGAGAAGTCCTTGCACCCTACTCTTTCATGGATAATTCTTGTTTATTATTGTTGAGTTTATTCTTTTCTCAGTACAACTTTTTCTCAGCATGATGTTGGCTATCACACAACTAGAGAGCAAGTGAACTGTTTCTGATATTACATTTGTAGAGATATATGCCACAGGGAAATGGTGTTTGTGACAAAGTGGAGTTCATCTAGGCACATCTATGTGAGATGCTTTACTGCACAGTAGACTAATATACAGCACAGTAAAGTGTCACCGTCTACACATGCACAGCATTTACTGTGCAGTAAATTAGCTTACTGCATGGTTGGCTACTACCTGTAGATAAAGACTGTGGATTTACTGCACAGTAGCTACTGTGGTAAATTACTCCCAGGCAGCCGGGGGCAGGGAAACTTTTCCTTCCCTGGGGCAGCTGCCTCCCAGCCCCTGTACCAACCAGGGCATAGGGCTGGGAGGCAGGCAGCTGCCTGGTGGAGGGGACTATTTCCCAGCCCCTGCTCTGATCTGTTGATCTGGAGGCAGGGCTGGGAGGAAGGCACCTGATCAGGGCAAGGAACAGTTTCACTGCTCCCACCTTTGCTGATCGGGGTGCAGGGGTGGGAGGCAGCTGATCCAAAGGTGGGACAGCTCCCTCTGCCCCCCAGAGCCCAGGCTTGACCTCAGTGCCCCCTGCCAGCCCAGGGCTTGCAGCTGGGGGAGCCTAGAGCTCCTCCTAGGTACTGTAGGGGGGCAGAGCAAGGCAGGAGTGGCCTTGCACTGATCTGCTCCCATTGGGAGCAAATTTGCTCCCGACAGGTGCATGTATAGACATACACCTGGGGAAAGCTTGCTGCACCTTATTTTAATGTGCAACAAGCTTAAAGCTCATTAATAGCATGTGTAGATGCACCGTCCTTCAACTAACTCCTCTGGGGTAGGTTTTGACATGTAGTTCGAACTCCTTGGCTGAAAAGTGGTGTGACAGGAGAAAAATATTAAGTTTTAATTGCTGTGATCAAGGTCTTTGTTATAGTGGATATTTTTTCATGTTTTTATGTGTGCAGGAGCTAAGACCATTAGCTTTGCTTTAGGCTGTACTTAGCATACAGTTACACCTTGGGTCAGACTTTCAGAGAAAGTAAATTGGGCTAGGGACCATTTACTTCAGTGATTTGCACTTTAAGAGCCAAAACCAAATAGAATTTCCTGGTTTTGATTTTGTTATTCTTTCATCATAGATTATGTTCATTTTTACTTTCATTTAAATTAATATTGAGTGGGTAATGTGCCAATAACCACAAATTATGTCATCTTATTATTATACATAATTTTATTGTTAATTTTGCTGCATCATTTTAGCAAAAGCTATAAATAAATTAGTACTAATATTTACTTTGGTTGACCTACCTTATTTTTTTTGCTAAAAATCTGGCCCATGGTGTATGTAACATAATCTTTAACGTAATTGAAGAAACTTAATTTCTCCTTTCTTTTTCATCTTTTGATTCTCTGCTTGCACTGTATTAGTAGTGCTGGGAGAAAAAATATGCTTCCTTTAGCTATTGGTTGAAGAAGTCAATGGAGTACTATATCTACATGAAATAATGCATTGCTGTGTTTTACCACTACTGGACCAAATCTTAAAGTCACTTGCTTATCCTGTCTTTTTCAGCCAAAATTCCTAAGGGGGCTAAATCCTAAGATTTCTACTCGGCTTTCCCTCAGTCTTTACCCAGACAGAATTGTCACTAACTTTAATGTTAGTTTTGCCTTAAAATTTCCAGATAAGGTTGTTTGCATTAGCTTTAACAACGTGCCTTTTTATATTTGCTTTTTGTGTTACTCCTGGCAATGGGAGTCTATAGGCATTCCTTTTGAAGAAACCTTCTTAAGTGTATGCCCCTTATTTTTAAGAGAGGCCTATAAAATATATAGCAATACACAGTCAGATGCTGCTAATATTTTAATGAGGGACTTCCACAAAAATGTCCCCTCTTGTCTGTGATAAACACCATAGCCCATGGTTATGTGACTGGAAATGAAAAGAACTTAGAAAATCTATTCATTTGTTTTCCCATGTAAACAAAAATACTTTCTGTCACCAAGAGAGAAAGCAACATCACCTGGCAAGCCAACTTATCTTTAAGAAAATTTGCTGGAAATGTTTATACTGAAAAACAGTCAATTTAGTCATAGTATAGTACAATGGTCAGCTTGTGTGATTTGAAATGAACGGTGAAGAAGGGGGAACAAATATCGTATTGGAAGGTATACATCCTTTCCAGTAATTTTTTTAATTTGGTGCAATATGATGTATTCCAAAGGCAACGTATTAGTTCTTCAAGTGTATTTTACAAGCCGCATGGATAAATTCTCTTTGGCACAGAACATTTACAAGCATTCAGAGAGAAGTGGCTCCACCAAAAGTCAACTTAACCTCTCCTTCAATTTGTAGCAGAAATAACCTCTTCCAGCATATCATGGCAGCCTCCTATTTCACATTACTCCAGTCACGGAGATTTCCTGGGTGCACAAAAGCACTTGCGTCTTTTTTTTTTCAATTCCTCCTTAAAACGCAATTCAGTTTCGTTGTCTTTATAACAAGGGAGCTGTATTGTTTCAAAGTGTACATAAAACTGCTGGCCATATTATAATTATTTATTATTTGTAATAGAAGAATGCAAACCATCTAGAAAGAAAAAATTTTCTGACACAGAGAGGACATTGGTAATGGGATATGAAGTATTTCATATCTACATCACTAGTTCCAATCCAGACTCCTTTGCTGATGTCTGGAAATAGATGATGTTTTTCAATCCATTGCCTTTCTCTATTGTCTTAGAAGCAATTTGGGGTAAGAAAATGGAAATTTTTGAGAAAAGAGCTCCCAGGGGGAGGCACAGAGTTGGGGAACGGTGGAATTTGCAGTCCATGGCAGGGAGCCAGATCTCTAACTCTGGCTTAGGGCAGTAATATGTTGCCAAGCTGTGTCCTAGATGTTTCCTTAATATCTGTTTCAAGACTTTTGCAATTTGTACTTCAGCAGCCTTCACCTGGCAGTTTATTCTGGGCCAGATCCTCAGCTAGTATAAATCAACATGGCTCTATTAGGCTTTGCCCTTATCTTTTAATAATCAGTTTATGAAATTATAAATTCCTCATTTGCTTGTGACAATTTGGAGGATCTGTCCTTGTCCAACTAATGAATTCTGATTCATTTTATGAATGCTGTGTATTCATTTTTCCAACCCCCGCCATGCACAGCCTGCCAGCAATGGGCTGACAGGAAGCCTGTCACATATCATAAACCCTGCATAGGTTTTATGGAGCCAAAGGAACTACTGAACAAATAAAAAAGTCATTAATATGTTTATAAGACTACACTGACAAGACAATGGGGAGGCTAAGGAGCACATCTGTGTGGGAGAAGTCCAGTTTTCCCAGGCAGGATTTGGAGCTGTGGACTGTTCCAGGGAGAGGGAACTGGAAGATGACACAAGCTCTGAGAAGAGGGGAACAAAAGGCACAGGCTCCAGGGACCCTTACACTAAACAAGGGATAGACTGAAGGACTGCTTCAAACTCAAATCTCCAGCCTGCCACACAGTAAACCCCTATGGTGACC